CACGCCCGACTTCACAATGGGTTTGAGTAATTCCACCGGTTGTTTCTCAGTCACGGTGTGTGGGATGCTTGGAATGGGTTTCGTAGGGGCGTCAGAGGTCGATGTCTTTGGCCATGCACTTGCCGTTCCCTGGGGCCGGGTAGGAGACATGGAGACTTGACCTAATGTGGTCCCCAAGCGAGGTGGCGTGCCAACAGCTGGAGCTCTAGGTCTGTTTCCAGTTCTCTCTGTCTTATTCTTTGGTGTTAACCCTACTTTATTCGAGGATGCTGATAGCTTTTGCGTGGCGGAGAGCATCTCTTTCGGGCTTTCTGTGTGGAGTGCGGGCAGCTTCTTGCGCTATGGACAAATGTGCCAGAACCGCTTGCATGGTTGTCTCTTCATCAGCTTATAGTATTGCTGAGGGACTTTGGTGTCGCAGTGACGATGCGCCCATCGTTGACATAGGTTGCATGCAAATGCCTCATCGACTGCCGAAACAACTATGGTGCAAACACTGCGGCCATTGGGTGTCGCAGTGCAGCCTCCTTTCCATGAAGAAAGTGCTACGGATTGTGGTGAAAAGCTTGTGGCTGCCTTGTTCTGAAGCCTTTTACGTCGCCTTCTATTTTCAGGCATGGTATGGTCCTTGTCCTAGGTAAAACTAGTTTATGACGGGCTAGTGCTACTCTGTGTCACCTGTCTGATGGCTACTGGAATTCTAGAAACATAAGCCGGGTGCTTCTTTAGAAGTCTGGTGTTCTACCCTACCTCCGTTTGTTTGCGGGTACAGACTAGAGTGTTGTTTCGGGTGCTATTGTCCCCTTTTGTACACTTCCGTGCTATCTGTGTCAAAGCTTCGTGTCTAGCGTTTTGGGCAGATATGTTGCCATGATACAAACTTCTTGGGAAAACAAATAGTTGACAACGGTAAGAGGGTTGAAGACTGAATGCAGCTAAAGGACAGAATAGATAAGGGAAGACAATTTATGTTGGCTCACCTTCAGACACTTGTCACTTACCCTTCTGCTCTTGACCAACGAGTTTAACTGTAGGCTCCAGATGCGTATGTATAGCCAGGAAAGATGTTTCCTGGAGAATGACCTCCGAGGAGAACCGAGAGCTAAGGCAGTTTGGCAGTTGAAACGCCAAAGAACCACTGACAGGAGGCAGACTGGTCGGCTCAAATAAATAATGATGCCAATTTTCAACTGTTGAGAAGTGGGTTGACGACTATGCAGCGGTGAAGTGCGTGTAAGAATAAGTGTGCCGCAAAAGTTCGATTTTTATAGACTGAGTGCCCCAAGCAGGCGTTTCTCAATGTGGAAAAATCCAAAAGCTGAGAGACGAGCGAAAACACATCACTATTCAAGGAGCGCGCGTAATATTATCATGTGCAAAGACAATAGCTTCCTCTGGTACCTCTACGAATGAGACTGAAGTTCGTCGGTAAGATGGTTAGAGCTTCTCATGTTTTTCCGCAATCTATGTTAGGAATTTATTGCCGAATTTTACATCCGACAGAATACGAATCAGGATCTTCTCGAGCCCACCAGTTTAATCTGAAGGGCATACATCAGTAGTGAGGGGAGATAATTATTGGTCAGTCAGGAGATTCGATAACATCCATGTCGATTTCGCTGGACTACCGCCTTCAATAAAAATTTTCATTTTTATCGTGTCATGTATACGAAGATTTATTTGAAGGCCGACAGTAATGCTAGTGCGTGGCATACCTACTGAAACTAACGCGAATAGTGTCATCCAATACTAGATTTCAAACCCAAAGTAAAATTATTGCAAATGGAGGCACATAATCAGCGGTTAACCAAACTTCCTGCGATGAAAAGTATAAGAACCTCTGTATATCATGTTTCATTGTCGTAGCTGTAGGGTTCTATCAACAATTTAAGGTTAAGTTTATCGTAGCGAACTGTGATGGTAGCTAGAGTGACAAGCCATGATAGTCCAACTCGCTGTGCATTCGGATGTCAAGCTGAAAACTGCCTACGATACGGAAGTGTCCGGTTTTGGAACTACGTCACGCTTACCTAGAGAATAATTTAGCTAAACAACGTAAGTTCCATCAGATTCAACCAACCCCGTAAAAGAACTGAAGTGAGGTAAGTGCATCATAACCTCAGCCTTCAAGGTACCGTCACAACCTAGTTTATTCATCGTGAAATGTTTCGGATTGGAGCTCTATTTTCATGTGAAGGAGTTCAGAGACTACTGTAACCTCCATAAGAGCGATCTCAAAAGGTGGTCACCAGATAAGAAAGCGCCATCACGCCTGAATGCGTGGACAGGCAACAAATGTGAGCTTTGGTGGAAATAAGCAAATGTTTATGAAATGTGCTGCGAGCATTTATTTTGGCGATTGTACTACCATACAGTTCATTTCCATCATATAAAACACACCACTGACTTTTTGTCTGTTGCCTCTGCTAACGATTTTTGCAAGTACATCAGAACTGGTGGAGGTTTCCTATTCACAGAAGGCCTGGAATTCTCCTATTCCTGTTGTGTTACTGAGCTGGATGACACAGCAGCGTCACAGATTTCGCCAGAATCAATAGCCTGGGGTTCGACGAGGTTCAACATTGAGGCTAACCTTAATAGCTTTACTGGACTCGCTATGCTGAAGGCACGCTGTCAAGCATCTACACTATTCGACATGCTGTCGTGTTACGTTCAACTGCTCCTAATCGACCTTCTAGCCGGTTAGTTGGAACGCATCGGCATCTTGGCACGACCTTGCAAATATATTGCTCCATCCGACCACGGTATTGCGTTCTTTCTTGGTCTTGTATTCGTGGGAATATAACAAGCGGGAGCAATTAGTGATTTGCCTCTGTGCATGTGAAATTCGCATCAGGATAATTCCCTACAATTACTTTGAGCGGCTTACTTGGAACTTAGGTCCACTGTCGCCTCGCAGCCAACAAGGCTTGTGGAGTCTTGGGGTTTCTTTCGTGAGCTTTAGGCAGTTTAACCTGTTGTGTTTTCATCGCAGCGTATAGGCTATTTATTCACCCTTTTCTTGAGAAACACTCACCCACGATATCCCCGTTTTTGAAGAAGGACATAGCCGTCCTAAAACGGGTTTTGAGAAGATATACTAAGAAAGTGATCGGGTTACCGTACAAACCTTACCTGGATCGCTCGTAGCCTGCATGCAGTACGACACCGGAGGATCAGTGGGGACATGTTCATGATGTGCCACACTGTGCATAATACTCTTCATCGTAACAGATCCCTCTTAAGCTCTAGTCAGACGAGTCACCTTAGGGGTCACCTGTTGAGATTAGAGCATGAGGGAGCGCGTCCAGTGATCCATGCTAACTCGTTTAAAGTTAGAGTTTGTTAACCATAGGACTCCCTTCCGTCAGCAGTTGCTACGGCCACACCCCATGATACTTTCAAAAGGAGGTTAGATGCACATCTAGAGTCTTGTGATACCGATTAGTTGTACTCGAAGTGCTTTCCGTCATCGACAGATCAGAAGGAGTAATACTACCCATTCTTTCAGGTTTTTTGGAACCATCAAGACAGTTTTGACCATTCCAAGTCTGGGACGCAATCTAATAAGACAGACGTAGAACCCAAGGAACCATCGATCACTTATTCTACATTACGAAGTTTGAAGTTGGCTGACCTTGACTTTGGTCTTTGCAGCCAATTACAAAGCAATGAAAATTGGAGGGTCCTTCGATTTTGGCAGCAGTTTAAAGGTAGTCGGGAGGTTTCACAGTAATACCGTACATTTCGTACTGTAACCCTGTTTTTGGAGAAATTAGTGTTTGAATAGTGCATGGTTGGCTAAGGAGCCTACCAAAGGAAGAAATAATCGGACTCTGATGGATGAGTTGTTTGGTCTGAAGTTCCCAATAATTTCGAAAGTATATAGATATAAATGAGTAGTCGAGGCGTGAACGGAGCCCTGCTTCTAAGCCGAAGATAATGAATGTATAGCTTTTTGGATGTACAGAATTCCTAGCCGCGAATCACAAACTAGGGTTCTGTGTTTTCTACTCATTGCTGAGTGCTTTGGAGAACTAGGTAGGCGTTCAGGTTGAAGTGGTTGCAGCAACAGTTTTACAAAGCTAAAGCCAGAAGATTGCTCAGGAGCCAATCATTGCACACAAAGCATTTCCTAGACGGCTCTAGAAATGGCTATAAGTAGCATGCTTTTGCAAAGCCTTTATAATACGAGTACTTGGGGAGTTTATTTTACCCCTCTTATGATTCCTAATAGCTTACTAATATAGTCACGTTTGTTTGACGACATGGAACCTAACATGTATCCTGTCTCTGATTCACTGGAGCCTAAATTTTGTGGGAACAGCCATATTACCACAAAATTTCTGCGAGACATCCCTGGAGGGATGTAACGGTTCAATGTACTATTTGGCTGTCATTACTGATATAAGTTTACATCTACTATCTTTGCAACTGAAATATACACTGCTTTATTTGCAGGTTTAACCTATCCGTCCGACAAACATCTGAGGTTATAACACGTTATCCACTCAGCCATAGGGGGACGCTTTTCAACGGTTTGTTACTGCATATGATCCAAAGCCCGAAGCCTGAAATTACTTTCTCATGTACGAAGTGCTTAATTGTGTGGGATATGGCCTACTGTTTATATTCGGTCTTTATTTTGCTGGGGGAAAGTTTCCAAGGTGTGTAGGCCTATGAAATTTAATTTGAACCTTTTAGAGATCATCCGGAGACAATCAAGAGGAGGGTTGTTTCTGTCTTTGTGACCGGTACCATTTCCATGATCCACGTATCGACTTTTATACATCTTGAAGGGTACCCTCTGGTAAGCAACGTTTTCAGGAATAATTCTTCTTAGTTTCAGCTATCGTCTTATGAATTCGGGAAGGTCTTTGTCAGGGTTGATGGACTACTAGAGGCCGTTGTTATTTCCGTTGCACTCACTATGGTTTGTTGTATTTTTTCTCTAATATTCATTCAAATAAGGTTTTGTATTTGGAGTGCTCCTGGATGATATGTGCAGTGGGGATATGTCACTCCTTCTTGGTAATCATTAAAATCATAGTTGTCTTTACATTTTTCACAAGTCATGTCTTAACTCAGTATTTTGTACTTTAATTTCATGAGCTTTGCTCTCTATATGATCTGCACGTGCAGGTTGACAACGCTGATTTTTATTTCCATTCACGTATTTATTCTTAATGTTTTGAGTATTGAAGAGTCAGTCTTTGAGACAAGTGCTTAGTCGGTTCGAAATGCATAAAACAAGATTGCAAGTGGCTGAGAAGACCGAAAGGCGGTTTATAACTGTAACAAGGTTCGCTTTTTCAGCATCTATTCTGAGCCCTAAAGTCCAGGTCAACACAGGGCTTCCATTTTATCCTGAATGAAATAATTTTTATACCCGTTTTCTTTTCGTGTCTTGTTAATTAGAAAAGCCAGATAACCGATGAAATAAGCGTCAGACCCTAGACAGACCACTCGTCTAGTGATTGTAAAAGTCTATTACTTTGTATTCATTTTGTTTTTCATGCTTCATTTTGATAAGTTTAGTAGTGCATATAGTGTGCTTTGTGACTGTCGTTTGGGTGTCACAAGCAATTGCAGAAAGTTGTGAGGTCTTGGGTGATTGAAACGTTGCTTGTTAGAGTCGTAACATCCATGAATGAGAAGTATGACCACGTCCTACTTTTGCTTTAGTTTGGCCGACCATATAAAGCGACTATATTTTGCATATTTATGTTTCTACTTTTCCGATGGTTTTATTCAGATACCTAACACTCATGAAGATCAAGCTAACATTCGCAGGTGTGATGTCATCAGTAGACGTCAAAGAATTTTTACTGCAAAATCAGTTCATTAGGTTGAGTTATGATAAAAACTACCGAGGACAAGTGTGCATGCTGGAGGACTAACTTCGCAATCGGCTTCTTGGCAGTTACCTTATTTATCTGTCAAACAACTGAATAAGTGCATCTGGAACCAGTCATTAATGTAGATTACAAACCATCATCCATAAATTTACTAGGTTCTGTTTTCCCATGTGGTTAAATCCTGTCAAATATGGCGGTACACTGAGGACAGAAACGAATCAGTTGTCAGATTCAGGCACAGTGACCAGGCGTAGTTCCTCCAAACATTTCCTTGGCTACAGGCGACTATGCATACTACGTTGAAGTCATTTGTTACCTGTCTTATCCATATAGGTGTAGGTAGTATGCACTTGGACGACATGATTATCATAAATCCCACAGGCGTTAGGTCTTTTCGTATCATTCCATCTAGTTTCCAGTTCTACAAAAGCCTCTGTTTTGGATCTACTAAAAGCCAATCAGACCTAGCTAACATACTAGTGTCCTTGAGTCATACTTGGTTTCCCTGCTCCTCTGAATCTTATGTATTCCGGAGAATTTTACGCTGTTAAGGAACATTGATTTATTCCTACCAAGGTCTTACCCACAATAAAGGGAACGACGCCACCTGGTTGCTATGACCCTTGTGGATGAGGTGGGGGTCCGATAGTGTCAGTAAGTAGCTTGTTTCTTTGAAAATGAGGGGGAAATACGATAACGGGGAGGAAAATATCTTGCTCATTGTAGCTCAGTGGTCTATTCGACACGTGATTCGAACACTGAAGGTCGTGGCATTTATAAATGAAATGTATAAAACGAAATGTATACGAAATTCGCTTATTCTATGTGCGAAAGTGGAAACAAGGAGGGGAAATGAGGTGTTTTGTATCTCTTGTTTGCGAGTTACACTTAGTTACTTCCTATGCGTAACTGAGTTTTTAAGTATGAAATATGACCTCAGCGAAAATAGGGATTCTTTCTCCACAGTTATGGTTACTTAACGATTAAACAGAATTTAGAATGATGTCTCAGCCCATTACATCTTTTCCCCCTATTTCTACCAGCGTCCGTTGATTGTTACGATCACAAGATAATTCCTTTCGCAATAAAAATCCAACTGGTTCAATTTTATAATTCAGGCATGTTGTTTCTTCAAGATGGCTATTATTTACTAGACGAAACACCATTCAGTTGCTTGTACTAACACAAACCCCCTAAAACATGCGTTGAAGAATGCATCGCATGAAACAACTAAATGATATAAAACAGTTACGGAAGCCGGTATTTTAAGATGGACCCACTTACTAGAGACCTGTCTCTAAAGTGTCATGACTAGAAAATCACTTGTATGAGAATTTTTCTGTCTTTTACAACATTCTTAAAATGGTTTAAAGAAATAACACTGAATAAACCGTCCGAAACAGTTTAAACGTTGAAATACTTTCTGATGAAATGCACATCTACGGGTTTATATTACTCTAAACAATACATAAACTAATCAAAACTGATTTTTTTTCCACTTTACATTTAGATTTCCAGTACTGGAATAGTCGTGTATTTAATTGGATGGGCTTACGCAACTTTGTCATAGCTCCTCTCTCTGAGGAACTTATCTTCCGTGCGTGTATTACTTTCCATTTACGTCCTCTATTCTCTTCGTGTATCTTACTTTGTTTCGTCAGTTCGTTATTTTTCTCGTTAGGTAAGTACTTTTGTGAAGTTAAGTTTCTTAGCTATTGTGCTTCAACTTCATACCAGCATATCTCAAACTGGATTAACGTGTATCCCATTTAAGTTTGGTAACTGACATAGAATGCCCATAATGGTATGAATGTCTAGATTCCAAGTAATTGAATGATCTGTATCGATCTTCATACTTTTTAGTTTCCATCAACGTGTGTAATAATACTGTTATAGATCAGTAAGCAGACAAGTTGAAGCAGTGAACTGTGTATACAGTATCATTGCGTTTTATTGTAGTAGTAGTACTGAAGTTACTTATTGTCACCACGGGAGCTGGTGCTTCCCAGAATTCTTTCAATACAAACAAGACAACCCTGAAAGCATGTTTAGTGCTTGAAGTCGAAAATCTGAGTTCTTACAGCCCTCAGTGTTCATTTCCTAATTCTTTTTTGCTATGATATTGTGATATGAAGTAGAAAAGCCAAGAAAATATGGTGACATGTGACAGCGTAACGTAAAATTGTTTCTTACACTTATTTTTTCTCACTTCCATGTTATAGCTCTTAAGTGATAGACGTTTGAACACATTGTTGTTATGAAAACCACTCTTGCTCTCATAATCGTAGTTTTCAGTATCTTAATTATCCCCACTTAGGAAATCATTTTATCAAGTTAATTCATTGAAAATTATGTATCACAATTCAGGCTTTCAGCTTATTACTTAAATGAAGTTCCGACATTCTATGGAGATATTGGTTGCACGAAGTGTTTTTGTGGATGTGAATAATATTGTCGGTCTAGAGACGTTAGTGAAATGTTTGGAACGAGCTTTTTGATGATGATCTATCCAGTGTTAGTGGTCAACATTTTCACCGCTTGAAGCAGGAAAGTGTCTTAACCGTCAATGCTCAGAATGAATACTTTGTCATCTCACTCATTTGAATTTTTGCTTAAGAGTTAGGATAGGTGTTATGTCGAATTCCCTGTTGCACTTTGTCTGCTCAAAATGCATTAAGATTACAAGTTTGTTCATGTCATATTTGATTTTCCGAATAGGTCCTTCGATTATTTTCGTGTCAACTTGGTTGTTAGGGGGGAATAACTATAGTTTTAGTTGACAAATTATATCCTTATTGCATACTAGCCTTTCGTTTACATGTAGACGTTGATTTCTGTTTTCTTTTCTTACTGGTGAAAGATTTTAGTAATTTTGATAACGTTTTTCATACTTTTTATTCATACTATATTTATGCGCTCTACTTGTTTTCAGTGATCTACTGTACTGTCAAAAATACGTAGTAAAGCCAATGTTTTAGGGTTTATTTACGACTTAGAGTTGTGAGACTGGGTGTTTGAATCCAGTTATGTTTAACTAGATTTCAAAAACAATGTGGTATCATTAACACATATGTATGGCGTTTATTTGTGAAAAAACCTGACTACTAGTCTGAATTGTGTAAGAAATTGAAGGTCTCATGGCTGGGATATAAAAACATGAGGCACTGATGCACAAAGCTGACCACAAATGCATCCACATTCATCTTCATCAATGTTAGGAATATTGTTAATAATCTTTTTACCCCACCCACCCCCTTTATTTGAGTTATAGCCTATCGGTACTTCACATATGTTGATATCAATATTTTTAATTACTTGTCGCCTCTCGCTGATCTCTTTTATTATGTGCTATTGTGAAGCGTGGCAACTTGAACCGGTATTTAATTATGCTAAGTCCTGCATTGTTTATGACATGTCTACCAACTGATTACTTTGACCTACCTATTTTTGAGGAGATTACTAAAAATGTGTATTCGCTGGTGATTAAGCTGCTCATAAAACGGAATGAAAACTACGAAAAATATGATTTTCCAACTTTGTTCAAATTTATTTGGTTGAAACTTAAGATTTACATCCTCCTCACTAGTAGTTGAATACTAAACGTACTGACAAGTATTCTCAAACTTATTCTCCTATAAACTAATTTAGTTTGAAAAACCGAGTACTTGAAACATGTTAACTAATACTGAATAATTTCTTTTTCATATAGCTCATCTTCATCATATTTTCGAATCAGTTAGACATGGTCAAGATTTTCAGTCTGCATTTAAAAGTTCGCGTAAGTCCATGTTTTAAAATGATTGTTATTTATTGTCTTTCAACTTATTTTAGCATGCAGTTAAGTTGGCAAATAAGTTATTTAATATTTATTGACTAGTGGTTATCTGTCTTTTAATCTAACGGTAGCGTTGAACTCCATCGACAGAGCTGTCTTTTGGCAGTATGCAGCTGTGCATGGAGTCAGTTAGGATACTCTGCTGAAACTTATGCAGACGCACCAGGGTTTGTAAAGTGTCGCCATCTGGATTGATGGAAATTAATAATATCCACTAGGGATGTTCACTCTCATCATTCTTACACAACTTTTTTTATCAGTGTACTGATGGTTATACACTTATTTTCGACCTTTCAGAGATTGTTTTACTGTTTGTGGCACGTTTGGTCACTCAATGTGGATAGTGAGCATGACCCTTTTGCAGGAGATACGGATGAGATAAGGATCTTCTGGACGCTTTGAGCGAAAATCGGAGTGTGTTTGGAATTTTGTCCGTACTTATCAAATGTAGGTTGATGTTGCAAAACTGGCTTGCTCGGAATCCCAGTCAAAAAATGGAGAGTGGAGAGGTGGGATGCGTTGACCACTTCACTTATTTTGAAAGTATCATCAATTTCGATAGAATCTTCCCCAACGAATTTGCATCAGTCAGTTAGAATAAAAGTGTTACTTGGTATTGCTGCGTGAGAGTCTATGTTGCCACACTTCGCATCAGTGCATCAACGTAAATGGCATGAAGGTGAAAGGTGGGTACATAAGGAAGAAAGTAGTTAAAGTGATAGAGTCGTGGGAAGGAAACAAAAAGAAATGATAGTAATGATAAATGGATGCGAAAATCCCATCTGGCACTTACTAACTTGGGTTATCTGTGGCCGCCGCAGGGTACCCAGCTGCAAATTGAAAGGTTATTCTTCTGGACATGAATCCGAGTTTCATAGGCTTTTGACCAGCTTTTCGCACAGAATTGCTTGTGTGTAGTGGGCAATGCTGGGGTTCGGCTTAAAGTATAGGTCATGATACCCAAGTCAATTGAATGTCAATATAGGGCCTGGGAATATTGCGTAATGGCTCAAGTTGCCGTATGTCGTAGTAACACACCAAGATACAAGGCAGGAAAATGAAAAATGAAGAAATAGTAAAAATATATGGGCAGGAATTATATAAAGTCATAAGAAACGAGGAAGAGTAACGAAATACAGTATGACGACTAGGATGAGGATAAAATGTGCATGCATCTATGCCACTTAGGTCGGTTCCAAGTTATATCACAGAGCCTCCACTCACCGATTTTAGTTGTCATGCGAATGCCAACTTGTAATTCTACATTTCCTTACACAACCTAGACCAGTGGTCAGAGATTTCATGAACTGATATAGCGTTTTAGTCCGGACGCCTTTTACCATTTCCAGTCTAAACTCATTTCACCCAACATTGCACGACGGATCAGACGGTGACAAGACATGCGTAGTACACCCCAGTCATTTCAGTCCACAAAGGTTCATAATCTTTTCCTTGTGCTTGTAATTCTACACCTAACCTCCCCATTACTAGCGTTGTGCTTTCATAACACGTTATTCAGCAGGTAAGTCAACAAGGTTATAAACCGTGGTTGACTTAGTTGGGCCTAAAGTATATTGCACATACCGATACACCTATCTCGAAGTGCGATGTAAACTGAAGTAGGATAAGCTTGGAAAGAAGCCACACCTATTATGTGGGCGCTGCTGGTACTATCTGACTGCGGAAACCTTGGTATATGGGATGAGGTTTGAACCTGAGACCCGCAAGTGCTTAGACAAAAAATCCACAGCTCTTCATAATATGGTATCAACCCGTAAATTCTCCGATCATTGGTGTTGGAAGGTGTTAGTCGTCGCCTGGTTGAGGTCGTTGCGACATTAGGATTTCATGCCTGTGGTCTTTTAGTGACATTTGGCAAAGTCGATCACGACGGAGTAAATGTATTCATTACTTATCGTCTTCGAGATGTAGAACAATTTCACTAATCTTCATTTATATATTCTATCTCCCCCTACATATTTTGTTTACGTTTACATATTTCTCTTTTTCATAACTTGTGTGGTAACTTCAATTTATGGATTTCTTCGTGGGGTTTTGTGTTAGTCTGTTTCTTCTGTTTGCCATAAGATTACTTCTACTTCTATCTATTTAATGTGAGCATATATCAAGTATTTTGTAGACATACATGGAAATCTAGTTCGTTGGTTTAGGAAGTTGACTTTCAACTAGTGGTCGCAGCTTCGATCGCTGCTCCATGTACCGAGGTTTAGGCACCCAGGCACTATCATTAACCCTCACCCATAGGTGTCACTTATTGCCTGCTGCACGAATGTGCAAAAGGTAGCTGAGTGTTGTTAACTATTTTCGTGAACAGAGTTAACTTGAAGCTAGAATTGATAAATAATGAACTTATCAATTAGAACAGTTGTTCAGGAGACATCCAGTCGCCAAATATTGTTGATTTCATGCTGTTAAGCTAACTCAGTCTGACTAGTTAAACATGGTTGCAGAAATTCAGAACTCTGTCAATTTGTATGTTGACAATGAACTCTAGGTCAATTGTATACTTAGACAAGAAGTCCGATTATCTTTTGAATCGTCTCCCGTAGTCACCAATATGATCGCCATCTTTATTTTAGTTGTAGCTTGTTTGGGGATGGGCTGTAGCATAATGATATCAAGTTGATTTCACATTCGATCAAAACAATCCTGGAATCCATCTCTGACAAGATTCACTCACTTTGATTAAAGTGGTAAAATATCGTAAGACTGAATTATTGACCATCTTGTTACCTTTGTACTTCTAACAAATTTGAGACTTCAAAACCTTGATATAATTGGATTATTATGATCTGACTTTTAGGTAGCAAATAATCAGTAAAGAGTAGTATGAAGGCTAGCAGATAGTCAATAAATTTTTCCTGAGAAATTTTAGGTTGCAGTGGTTAAACCACTTTGACAATGACCCTAACGATGACCTCTCTCTCTCTCTCTTTAATCTTTCGAATTCCCTCCAACAGCAGACTAAATTATTGTAATACATTTTACGGAAATTCCACCAACTGAACAAATGTTAATTCCTACGAAAAGTATTTTTGGAATGAACCAGGTGGAATACAAAATCTGATAAGGAAGTCATTAAATACTTCTTCAATCTTGGAGTTTATCCTGTGTCTGGTAATTATACCATCAATTAAAACCTATCTATATATCCGATGTAGGTAGTAGGAGAACAAATAATGGACCATTTTTAAACGGGAAACATATTGATTGACTACAAAGTCATTTATCTTTGAAGTTTCAACTTTGAATCTCTTATAGAAGCATTATGACAGCATAATCGATCGCTCACGCATTCCTAGCAGCAAAAAACTTCCTTTATTTTGTAGCGAAACATGTTCTTATTGATAATTCCTTCTGTCTTTAGGTGTTTCAGAATTCATCCACATTTCTAGCCCATAACATAGGGAGTAATGTCTCTCCTGTTGCATAGTTACGTTTCAGTTACTTCAATCGCAGCAATAATGCCATGGGTAATAGTTTTCAAGTTTGGTGAATAGGTATACAGTATTTGGGGCTACAGCTATGATACTATCATGATTAAATTTTTAATTGTGTAAGGTGTTCTTTTAGCAACAACTGTTTCAACCAGTGGTTATAACACCAATATGAGAAACCTTTTCGTCCATTAGGTCGTTTAACGTGTCTTTTTGGAATTCGAGCTCAGTTAATGATAAAGACGGTTATTTACTTTAGTTGTAGCTTCATAATCACATGTTCTTGATTAGGATCGACTTGAGTAAAAGCGTAGAGACTGAACTGACAGTAAATAATGCAATTATTGTCTTGTTAGGGGAAGATGCTGATAAATTGCAGGATTTTTTGAACGCCTTGAGCAGAGAAATCTGAGTGTTTGCTATGTGTTTTACACCTGTCATATGTAAGATGATGTTTCACGACCGATCTAACCCTACTTCTAGTTAAAGGATAGGAAGTGAAGTGGTTGGATTCGTCGACTGATTCACTTACTTGAGAAGTTGCACCATCTCGAACGGGCTGGTTGCTGACTAAATCTCAGCTTGGATACAGAAGACCCATTTGGCACTCATCAACTTACGTCATCTGTAGGTCCGACTGGCGAGATATCCAACTACCTGTCAAAGGACGGGTAAACTACACTACGTTTCGTTATGTTATGCTTCATGACTATGAGACATGGCCGTTGAAAGTAGTATTGCTCGCGTTTGGTGGAATCACGGCGTGAGCAATACCGTGGTTAGGTGAAAAGAACTAGGCAATCAAGGGCAGGCAGTTGATAAGATTGTAAACCTTCATCAACTGAGATGGCTTGGACATTTGCTACGCGTGCTGAACTACCATCTACCTCGATTTTCCATGCTGGGTGAAGTTGGATTGAGTTGGAAGAAAGCTCAGGGTGGTCAGACCAAGACTCAGCACCAGTTCATGAGGTCTGTGACTATTGGTCTGAACTATTTAGGGAGGTGTGTAGACTACCTGACTGGGAATCAGGGGTTGCGAACTCTTGATGAAGTGCTTGAAATTGTCACAATGGTTCAGATCTATTCACTTTTTGACCTCTTCTAAAGCTTGAATATCTATGCCAACTGTTATTTCCAAATTGTTTATTGCCTCACACAACTTTGTCTACTTTGATATCACTCTTTTTCTGTCCACTTGTTCTTTGTATAATACTTTGAATTGTGGCAACTTGAACCGATACACACTTTTGTGTGGGGTTTTATGTTGATTTCGTCTTGTGTGTTTGAATAATCCAGTGCCGGACTGTGATTGATTGAGTACCGACTAAATATCGCTGAATTAATGCATGAACGTTGACCATATTTGGATTCAGTCTTCCCCATAGATGCTTCTAAATAGACATATCACTGAAAGCCTTTTGGTGTACAGTTTGAAGATGAATGATGAGAAAGTTCTTACTCAATATTAGTTGCCTATTCTAA